AAGGAAGGAAGGAAGGAAGAAAACAGAGAAAAATAAATCGAGATCAAATTTTGAGCGAGAATAAAAAGGTCAACATGCTCTTAAAAAGACTTCCTCGCAAATCAATTCCTTGATACGCGCTGTCAGACATTTTGTCACTTCGTTAGATCAAAATAAGAGCTTCAATGTTCACTTTAAATAATTCCTGTTTTAAAGCTGTAGATAGCAATCGATATTAAGATCTTAACTTTGCGCCAGTGTTGGAGACAATTGAATTGACATTGAGTTGCTTTGGACTTAGGGTTATTACTGAGCAACGTTTTTTGCACTCTGCGGAAGGGTATTATTTATATCAATCAAGTATAACGATCGCACACTCCCAAATACGACAAGTTTTGCAGTGGTTTACGCAAGAGTGATGTCATTACCGGTTACAACACTTTTTAAAATAAACAACTTTCGGTTCATACTGAGGATTTTTGAAAGTTTTTTTTGTAGTTTTGAGCATCTTTCAATAGGATTTTGATCTGGAATCATCCTTCACGGCAATAAAGAAATAAAGAATGACATTCATTTTCTTGCTGGCTATGTATCGAACGGTTGAGGAAATTATGAAGGCGGAGGGAACGGCTTTGTCTTGTAGTTAATCATTATTCGAAACATGAGAATTCAATATATTTTCCCATAATTTATCACAGCAAGGGTTATTCCCCTCTTAATTTAGCTTAAAAAAAACTTATTTAGCTGGAAAAAAACAACATTGTCATTGTCAACAAACACATCGTGCGATGTCACCAACGGAAAGCTAGTTTGGCGCAACTATACGATTCTTTTTCCTTATTTTGACCTAACGTCCATTTATTATATTTTGTGGAAACCATGACATTTGAAATTTTAACCACTAAAGTTACATGTCAAGTCAGTTCACAATGGGATATCATGAATGTTGAATATTATGGCTGGGCGACTGCAATGCAGTCGGACGGCGCGCTGTACCACGAAGTCTATTTAATATAATCGTGGAGCTCACTTGTCAAATATGGAAATGGTTTCCTTGAAAACCATAGAAATCCTCTCGCTCGGCTTCTACCCTGACTTATTTTTAAACGAATAAAAAGTATATTGACCAGAAATATGAATATACATAAATATAAATTCAAGAAGAAATCTAAGAATACTGAAGTGAGTTTTATAGATTCATAAGCCAGCTGATATGAATAAAGACGAATTTACATTACTGCACATTTGAATACAATCATTCTTTTCGAGGTAACGAAAATCCAAACTTGAACGCCACAAAACACGAAAAAGAAAAAAGCAGTTCTGCCGGATAGGAGAAAAAAAGTCGAACCAAGGTGTAATTCGGCATTATAATCACCCCAGAGATTCCTATATTTCATACGTATGTTGTGTTTTTTGAGGTAGAAAGGTAATTATTATACAGCGATATGTTTTGGGTTTGGCAACGACTTACCTTAAGTTGGATATTACAGCTAAATTTCTTGCCGACTAGTGATACAGTTAACATATTGATGGCTTAGTTCTTCGTATTATAGTTTTTAAGCCTTCATTTTCTAGACGCCGATTTCGCGCCTTCGACGGGGCTTTCTAGTGTGTTGCAGGTGGATGGAATTCTCAATGGCTAGAAGCCAAATAATGAAAACATATCGGATATGAATAATGAATGATTATTGCTATCACTAGTATTGGCTGGAATCCTGAAACGCAGAACTGAATATAATTATCTAAACGTTTGCCAGGAAGAAAACGAATATTTAAGCCATCAGAGATCACTTGCCATTTCATACCATAAATGAGAGAAAAATAGCCGAGAGTTTTGACCGCGATGAATAATTTCTATCCAGCGAAGCCATAACAAACATTTTGGAACTCAATTTACTATAATAAACGTGTTGTTTGGATATACTAGAGTTTCATTTACAAATTTATTCATTTTATTGTACAGAGGCGGGTGATAGTAAGGTTTGAAGATAGATAAACATATAGGTTTTAATTTGAATTCGAGAAATGAAGCAAAAACAATAATAATAGGAACTATTTTTTTAATATCCGAAAGAATAAAATATGTGTCTTGCTAGGTACTTGAAATATAGAAAGTAATGCTTAAAAGGAATATAACTATTAGAAATCAATATATATAACCTTTAACTTTGGGCGTGGTTTTGTTTTTACATTTAAAAACGTGTTATTTCCTTGAGTATTACTTCCTTATTTACCAGGGCCCGGTTGTACGAGGGGTGGATAGCGATATCTGACAGAGAAATCCTTATCCAATATGGAAAAATCGATGCTGTTATCCAATAGATTTATCCACTGGATAAGATTTATCCGTCGGATAGCGCTGTTTACCCTTTGTACAACTGGGCCCAGAAATACATGTAAGTGAGGATAACTAGACGGTAACCTTATCTCAAAAAATAGCATTTCAATTTACAGGTTGGATAAAAGCCCCAAATTTGATATAGAGTTTCGTTTTGGTCATCTGTGATATTAGAAGGGGTGCCACAGGGTTCAGGGAGGGGGGATGTATCGGATTTTAAAATTACCACCTTTAAAGAGTAATCACATGACTTGGTAAAAAAATGTTTATTTTATTTCTCTTGCATTTTTAACGCGTATCTATAAACTATATTCCTAATGAAATATATACCTTTCTTAATAAAGCTAGAAAAATTATAAAGTATCCAAAATACCAGATATTATGATATCAAACTTGATTTTGAACTATGAGTTGGGGTTTCACAGGGGTGTTTTGGAATCACACTAGTAAAAATAGTCGTAGCTGCTTATAATCAAGTAGGAGGTTAATTTGTAATTTCCTATAGGAAAAATTAAATATATCTAATTTTCCCCGCAAAAAAGAAAAAAAGGGGGGAAAATCTCGCTAACCTGTTAACCCTCATGTGAAGGGGGTTTTCCACTAGATATGGTAAAATATAGTGATTATTAATAACAATGCCGAGAAAAGACTTGCATCGAAAATCAGCTAATTCCATGCTAAGTCGCACTGCATTATTCTTGTATTATTCTACATTCTAAATTCTACATAAAGAGTAAACTAGTGTTAATCTATATTGGTATATAGCTCTTTGCAAACAATTGGGTATGAATTCAAATCACCTGTGTAACTCATTACTGACTACACCCATTTTAAATTATTTTGTTTTTAACTTAATAGCAGCTGAATACCACACTGTACAGAAATTAACCAGGGGCGTATCCAGGGGGGAGGGGGAGGGGGGCAAGGGGGCCCGGCCCCTATCCCACGCTGTAGAAACCTAAACTTCTATGTAGTCACGTGATAAGTTCAACTTGCCGATGTTTTGAAAACGCCCCCTTCCCCCGGCAAAATCCTGGCAACGCCCCTGATAGTGTAGGGTTGAAACTCCAAGGATAAGGAAAGTAAACTATTCTCTATTGCGTCAAAAGAAACTTCGGTTTAAGCCTGGTTCTGGCTTCTCAAAAATTTAGATATAATCTGTTTACAATGATGATGAGTTAAACTGCTATTCACTAAGCTGTATACAGTACGACAACTCGTTTTGAAACTGTTTTATACCTCGAGTGTATTATACCATAACTGATACTCKTTTCTCAACAAGATCGCACTTTCTGTACAGTTTGGCATACTCCAACAATGCTAAAGCATAGCATTGGTTCATTTTTCTTATTATATAAATCTGTTTCTTCGCTCAAGGTATATTTGACCTTCTTTATTCGGGTTGTTCTTCTTCCTCTTCCGGGATTCGTTCAGCTTTAACTGCGAAAGACAAGTTGTGCATCCACCTGAAAAATCCACGCAACGGCTACGGTTATAATTAACTCTAACAGGAAAATTTCAAAGTCATCAAATGATGGTTATTAAGGTTAGAACCAAGTTAGAACCCATGATGTGAATTTAGAATTTCTAACTCTTGAAGATGATATCCAAAATTATATAACAGTGGCGGATCCAGGGGTAGTGCGACGGGGTCCGCTGCACCCGTTTTTTCTTTTCAAGTTTTTATTTTTTTTTTATTTTTTTTTTT